ACACCCCCCTTGCCCCCCCCCCCCCCACTCCTCACTTAAAACCGATTTCATTGACGCCGACCCAATCCAACACCCTCTTCCCCCAAGCATACCCTAACAATAATTTAAAATAAGTTAGTACAAAGAAAGTTCACCTACTCTCACACGCCCGACCGGCCACATCCTCGTGGAGGCGACTGAGGATGTCGTAATTGTCCACCGTAAACCTATTGGACACATTGGTGGACAGTGTGGCCAGCTCCACCAGATTCACGCCACTCCCGATGCCGATGGACATCATGTGATAGCCCATGTCTTTCAGTATGCCCGCCTCGGTCGCCGCTGGATAGAGTTGTGTACTCAGGGTTACGTTAACTGAAGCTCAGTCTGTTTCGTTTGGTTGGCAGTGGGTCTTACGAATTATCATGAGCGTATGTTAATTTCTATAACTGCATATTGTAATAGAGCATGTATGTAACCTTAGAGGTGTAGAACGAGTGTGTACCTAGAAGATGACATGGTGTGTATACGGGCATACTTATGAGTGACGCTCGTATACAAATCCAGTGAAAGGTTGTGTCTACAGTGGTACCTCGGGTTACGAACTTAATTCGTTCCAGAATTTCGCTTGTAACCCGTAGCGTTCGTAACCTTAAACATGGAAATCATTGAAATAAAGACCATCGGTTTCAATATGAAAGAATTTTTCTCTTTTATCAAAGTCCGCCCGTTTACCTGACAAAACGCTTTACTTCACGGCCTAAATAAAATGAAAGAAAACAACCCAAAAAAGAAATTAAGTGTAAAATATAAAAAGAAAGATTTAGTCTATGTTTCTTGCCAAGAAAACGATCATGGCTGAATCAATACTTTCTTGTCGCTGTTTCTTGCCAACCAACTGGGAATCTTTCTGCACCAAGAAACTATCAACGGGAAATGTGTCACTTTCTTTGCTAGTCTGAATCAATAGTTTCTGGTCGCTGTTTCTTGCCAACCAACTGGGAATCTTTCTGCACCAAGAAACTATCAACGGGAAATGTGTCACTTTCTTTGCTAGTCTGAATCAATAGTTTCTGGTCGCTGTTTCTTGCCAACCAACTGGGAATCTTTCTGCACCAAGAAACTATCAACGGGAAATGTGTCACTTTCTTTGCTAGTCTGAATCAATAGTTTCTGGTCGCTGTTTCTTGCCAACCAACTGGGAATCTTTCTGCACCAAGAAACTATCAACGGGAAATGTGTC